GGATTAAGATGTGGTAATTTGCTTTGATTTTTGCATACAAACGTACAAGAATCGTATTTAGACTTGTATTATCGTTATGTTTCAACTATTTATATATTAAGATTTGTGTTGCGTGAAGTACAAATCGATATTTGAATAAAGAATTTATCTTATTATCGTTATATTTAACTTTCAATTGATCAATTGCCGTTGTACGTAACGAAAATCTAGGAAATGAACCAAAAAAATTTGTTATTGTATACTTACTATTAAGCGTATTTTTTGTGTTTAATTTTTTTCTATAAATAGTTTATAATTAGCAGAGATGTCTCACAAACTGTTACTTTAAATATCGATATTAATAATGTTCGTGATTGTTTTGAGTTTGGTGAAAAACATTTAAATTTCAAATACCATCGCAATTATATATTTGAATATCGAAATGAGAGCATTCATCTTTCCGACGCTCTATATTCATTCAATACTAGTATGTTGCATTGTTAAAGGAGAAATCCCCGCTTCGAGACAGTAAGTAATGCATTTTATTAAATTGAATACAGTAAATGCTAATTAATTAACCACAATTTTTATAGAAATCTAGCTGGAACAATAATTGACAAGAAGTACGTAAGCACTTTTGAAGATCAAATTTAAGGATAGATTCTAACTGATTACTTTAACTTAGATTACATGCGTTTGGCGGACGACGAATATCAAACCTGACTGCAGATGCAACAGCAGACGTGAACGAACTTTGGATACTAGACTTGACACAATGTATCCTCGCCACCATGGGTTCAAGGTCCTTCCACTGACGCTCCCTTAGCAGCATACCACACGGTAAATATCGGTGGTCCAGAAAACGAGCTGCTAATAATCTATGGCGGAGAAAATCCAAATCCAATACCATCAAGCCCATACGCCGTATTTAATACTAAAACACAGAAATGGTCAACGCCTAATTTTAATAGTACAAACTTTGTAAGCCGACGAAAAGGACATACCGGCGTCACAAATTTTAACGATGCTACAATAATCTATTATGCTGGGAAAAGATATGCTGATTTTGACAATTTGGAGAATAAAGCATTATTAAATAATGAATTATTTATGGTATTCACTGGGGCTAATACTTGGTTTACACGTACTCTCCCGGCTGGACCAGAATTTATAGCATTTCATACTTCGACACTTTTAAATGGAAAAATGTACGTGATAGGTGGCGCTTTAGATAACAATAAGCTTAAGAAAATGGATCAGATTATGGTATTCGATTTAAAGAAAACTCGATGGATTTCGGTGATAATTAATCTAATTTAATTAAAAAGAAATTATATCCAAGTATAAAATAATTTTATCGTGTTTCTCAGCCAGCAACTGGTTCTGTCATTCCTACAGGAGGTCAAGGTCATACAGCAGTTGGTAGTAAGTATATTTAATTCTTTAAATTCATGCTTGCGTTTTCCTTCTATTTCACATAAACAACAATAAATGCATTTATAATAGCATGTGATAATAAAATTATAACTTACGGAGGAACATTGAATTTCACTAGTTATTTTAACGATCTTTATGTATCGGATGTGACGACTATCCATGCACTTGACAAATATAGCAACAAAGGGAATTATTCCTCGCGGTCGGACTGAATTCAGTTCTGCGAAAGAAGCATCAGTAACCTGAATTAAGCGTCGATGAACTATTCTTCCTAAATGCTCTTGGGAATCTTTATGCTTATGTGGAGAACGCAAAACAGTCACTCTTTCTCGCTTAGTTTCTCATACGATGTTTATGGCTGGAACAAATTTAATAATAACTTTTGGTGAGAATACGCATCATTAAAATTAAGAATCGATAATTCTATAATAATTTAATTTATTTTTTTATTAGGTCAGCATGTAAGTAAAATCTTTATATTTTTGAAAATTTCATTGTTATTAATGCTCTCGAATACTTTCAATTGAAAGATGGTTATCCAAACAATACCTTAGTACTCGACACCACAACATATACATGGCAAACAACATACATACACACTTAACAAACTAGAACTCACCACACCCCAAAACCTGAAATCAATATGATACAAACACGACGAACGGAACAAATCCAAATACAAACACCACGAACGGAATAAATCCAAATACCACTTCCTCAAGTTCTATTTCTTCATCTTCAAATACAGACTGCGGCAGCAGTATAGTAGCATTAATTATAGTAGTGATAGCGATAGGCATATAGTTGTCTGATTAATCGTACTATTATAGTCAATTCTACTTCTTCAAATGATCTAATGAAAACGTCACATATTCCGACTAAAACGGAAGAAATGGAAGGAGGGACAAATACAGCATCAACATTTGGATTGGGATTCAGCGAATAATACTGTTGCTGTTGAGGCGTTAACTATTTTATTACAGTCGAACCTCCAGAAAAGAACACAATCGGGATAATCAAATTATCGTTATGTTCTATTTTAGAATTAATTTCTATTTTGTCTATTGATTCTATAGAAAAATGCTCCTTGCAGATTGTTCCTTTATAGATAAGGTCTGACTATATAAGTTTGTATTTAGAATTACCTTCTATATAGCCATGTTGATAAAATAAAGCTATCAATTTACTAATCGTGCAATAAATTGTTGATTTCCATTGACTTTAGTCACACCAGTGTTGGCTAATGACCTCATATTGTTTCGCCCAATTTGATATACAAAGTGTCTCCAAATTAGGGCGAAACTGAAAATTCACTTTCGGATTTGAAAATAGTTTCGTCCGAAACATTAGATCAAGGGTCATTTGAAAATGGCATATGACCATGAAATTTGCCGATAACAAACTGCTGTTATAGAAATCATTAAGAAATCTATATCCCGATCACGAGAAAAATCATACCGATACTGACGATTGAATAGAATTAACTCAATTTGATCCTCAAATTGTTTCAAAAAAACGAGGATTTCGGCGAAACTGTAAGTTTCCTGGGCGAAAGGTTTCGGATTTTGAAAAATAGAATAAGATTAGATAATTAAATATACCATTATTGAATTCGTTATATTCTGTTAACAAGAATAAACATCGGTTTCTTTTATTGTATAAATTATATGTTCCATGTTGGCAAAATTTGCTGATATTATTGATGTTTAGGCAAAGAAATTAATATATGGAATGAATCAAAATTGGTTTTTTCTCAAAACTAATTTTCTAAATAGCTTTTATAGCTGATGAATTACAGTATTTATTTACAAGGTGGTCATAATTCAATGGCTGTTTGAAATTGATTGATTGTTTAACATCCCCCTCCCTGAACATTAAACAAACAAAATTGAATATCACGTGTAAATTTATCCAATTTAAATTTAGCATTAGAGCACAGCATTTAAGTCAGACTAGTGATTTTTATAGGATCTCGTGATTTAAGAAGGTTTTTAAAACTTTGTGGTTTCAAAAACTACAATAATTTTTCCATTTGTAACAGTAAAACACCAAGTCTGATATTATCTGACGTTTATGGTGAATCAGAACTTAAAAAATATGACATAAACGAGTTTAATTCTTCTTACAATACTATCATATCAATTAATCTATAACCAATAAAATTGCAGTGTTTATTTTTCATGCTTGTTTTTTTCCCACCTTATAAACAATTATTAATCATGATGCACAATCGATGTTAGCAAGTGCAACCCCCCCCCCCAGAACTTGATTTAAACAGCGTGATAAGATGAGGCTATATAAATTCGGGTGTTCTATTAGTAATAACAATAAAATAGCTTTCTACACATCACTCAAGAAAACAAAGAAATATTTTTGCGCGCTTTTTAATACTGCTATTCCCAAATACATACACAATATGAAATGCACCACTGTATTCGCTCGACAGTTTGCGTTGGCGAAAACGCATTTTCGACTTTCACCGAAAATACAACTCACCCAAAAAACGTACGGAACGCGTTTTCAATCTGCACCAAAACTACGACCCGTTCGTTTACTAAGAGTCGGAAAAGCAAGCTCTCAGAAGACTAAAGCAGACATACCTAATATTTTTCCATTATTACCATTGGTGACCAGTAAAACAGTGCTTAGTGAAGTTAGTGAGAATGTCGACAGTTTATTTAGACAAAGAAAGAGTAATCTCTTTGTATCACCACCACCACTAGCAACAAATACAACACTGATAACAGCAACCTTAAAACCTTCTGACTCGATGTCACTCTTTCAGAAATATGAAAAAGTCAAACGTCCTACTTTGTTAGTAACGAAGGGTGATACAAGTAATGTTGACGACGATGACGGTATAAATCGTGTCGATAAAAACACAGAATTAGAAATGATTACTTGCATTGTTCCCACGAATGAAGATGATTATAAAAAAGCAATCGTCACTGAGATCAAAGATGGTGAAAATGATAGTAACGATAATAGGATATTAATCAATGGGAATAATGAATCTGGCAACATCGAAGATACGATAAACGTACATGATACAAATAATGTCGACGACAATGACGGTAAAAACACAGAATTAGAAATGATCACCTGTATTGTTTTCACGAATGAAGGTGATTACATGTACATGTATAAGAAAGCAATCGCTGCTGAGATCAAAGATGATGAAAGTGATAATGATAATGGAGCATTAGTAATCGATGGGAATGACGAAGAAGATACGACAAACAGACAAAATACAAGTAATGACGGTATGATAAATCACGTTGATAAAAACAGAGAAATAAATAGAATGATTACCTGTATTGTTCCCAACGAAGGTGATTATAAGAAAGCAGTCGACGCTGAGATTAAAGATAATGAAAGTGAAAATAATGATAATATGACGTTAGTAATCGACGGGAATGACGGATCTGGCAACATAAAAGATACTGAAAAAGATACGATAAATAGAAAAGATACAAATAATGTCAACAACAATGACGGTATAATAAATCGTGTTGATAAAAACAAAGAATTAGATGAAATGATTACATGTATTGTTCCCACGAACAAAGGTGATTATAAGAAAGCAATCGTCGCTGAGATTAAAGACGGTGAAAGTGATAATAACGATAATAACAGTATAATAAATTGCGTCGATAAAAACAGAGAATTAAATAGAATGATTACCTGTATTGCTCACACGAATGAAGGTGATTATAAGAAAGCAATCGTTGCTGAAATTAAAGATGGTGAAAGTGATAATAATGATAATATGATGTTAGTAATCAATGGGAATGATGAATCTGGCAATATTAAAGATACTAAAGAAGATACGATAAACAGAAAAGATACAAATAATGTCGATGACAATGACGGTAAAAACACAGAATTAGAAATGATTACCTGTATTGTTCCCACGAACAAAGGTGATTATAAGAAAGCAATCATCGCTGAGATTAAAGACGGTGAAAGGAATAATAATGATAATATGACATTAGTAATCGATGGGAATGACGAATCTGGCAACATAGTAGATACTAAAGAAGATATGACAAATGGACAAGATATAAGTAATGTTGACGACAATAACAGTATAATAAATCGTGTTGATAAAAATAAAGAATTAGATGGAATGATTAAGAAAACAATCGTTGCTGAGATTAAAGCTAATGAAAGTGATAATAACAATAATATGACGTTAGTAATTGATAGGAATGACAGATCTGTCAAAATAGAAGATACTGATACGATAAATGGAAAAGATACAAATAATGTCGATGACAATGATGGTAAAAATACAGAATTAGAAATGATTACCTATATTGTTCCCTCGAACAAAGGTGATTATAAGAAAGCAATCGTCGCTGAGATCAAAGACAGTGAAAGTGATAATAACAATAATATGATGTTAGTAATCGATGGGAATAACGAATCTAGCAACTTAGAAGATACTGAAAATAATGGTGAAAAGTATGAAGATACGACAAATGGACAAGATACAAGTAATATTGACAACAATGATGGTATAATAAATCGTGTCGATAAAAACAGAGAATTAGGTGAAATGATTACCTGTATTATTCCCATGAACGAAGGTGATTATAAGAAAGCAATCGTCGCTGAGGTCAAAAATAATATAGGAATGCATATCAACAAAGATAGTGAAAGTGATAATAACGACAATGGGACAGTAGTAATCGATGGGAATGATGAATATGGCAACAAAGATACGAATAGTAAGGTCTCCAACGGACAAGTAAAGAATATAGATGCAAAAGGCATTATAGAGCTCCTAGTTGCCTGCTTTACCGAATATCACGGTTTAATAAAGGCAATCTGGAAGCTCGCCAAGGTCTGTTTCCAATTATTTAAGAAACAGGGATTCCGAGGAGTTATCTTTGTGATCAAGAAGCTTGTTGATCCAAAACTCGGGATCCCTGTTTCGAATATTTTGGAAACATTCCTTGGCATGCTTTTTTAATAATAAAAAATTATTTTAATATATATTAAAATCTAGGGTTTTCTATTTTTTTTAACATGGGGAGTAATAATCTGTATTAGTTTTTTTGTTAAAACACATTCGTTTCCTATTAGCCGAATAACTAACCGAATAACTAACGGATTGGTTATGAATTAATCGCAGATACTGCCCGTTGAGGGAAACCTCTATGATGTATATGGTTTCGAAAGTCTAAAGTTACCCAAAAAGCCAAAACCTTGACATTTCAAAATCCTGACGATTTAAAATCAAAGAAGTTACGTATGGTGAAAAAATCAATGCATTTATAACATGTGTTATGCAAATACAGTGATTTGAAAAAATAAATGGATAGTCACACTCTACAAGTCACTTTTTTGATCCTGAGGGTGTGATTATATGGATGGATGTTAGATCTTGAAAATGTTGAAAATTAAAATGATTTTTGAAAAACCACCACGTTAATCTTAATATAACACATTATAATATTTAGTTGTCTAAAATGGCGTGAAGCATGAATTAATCTGAATAATTAAAAAATAGTATAACAAATCAAATATCTATCGGTATTTAACAGTTGGAAAAGGTTTACGATAATGTAAAAGCGCGGAATTAAACTTATATAAAGAGACTTGTCGAGTCTAAGGTTCTTCATTCTCTAATCGATTACCTATAGCAGAATAAATAAAAACCACTAAATTCGATGACACATATAATTTTTTTTAGTACTGTTGCTTCGATATAATAATTAGTTAAAGAGGGGTTTTTCGCACCAGGGTGAGAGCTATACTGAATTATTTACGAGTAAAGGAATTCTTTGGACGTTCTAAAGGCTTCCCGTGGCGACTTGTACGCAAATCGACATTAAAGATAAGGGGTGTTTACAAAATAATAATAAAACAAAATAAAATAATTCAAAATCAATTTAACGATTCTAACGCAATAGAACTTATTGATGCGGCCTATTCAAAAAAAAATAAAAATAATCCAACAGGGTTTATTGGTACGGCCTGTCCAAGAAAGATCAAATCAAAATAACAATCCATAATAACAATCCAAAAGAGATTAACGGCTTATTTAGAGTGGAGGAGCATCTACTACTTGCAATTACTCACAAGGTTTGAGGTTCGACCAATAGAATAAAATAATAGTGTATTCACAAGTATTATTACTATTACGAGTAAGTACTTTGTTATTTTATTAGATCAAAGCATGTTTCTACGAAGGCTCGAAAGCACCTCTATATATATACAGGACTGAATTACTACGCTAATTCTAAGGCTAGTATTTTACATCGGTTTCTTTGGGGCTTATTATTAACAATCAAGTATCTATCGTTCGATTTATAATCTATTTTTCTTAAAGGACTATAATCGTTTGTCCTTTGGAAAATCACGCGTCGAGACGTTCAATAATAAAGAATCGGAAGGGAGATTTATGACTAAGGTATTGTTTCGTATTGTAATTTGGGTTAATTAGGAAACTAATCTAAAAAAAGGATTTTTATTTAGGAATGAATTTGGGAATAACGATAAATCGAAATCCTATTGTGGACTATTTAAGGTTGGATTTTCATGGACAAATTAAGCGCATAAATTATGGAATTAAAGGATTTACTACGTATCTTTTTGGGATTGGCATTCAATATTATTTATGCTCAAGATAAATCCTCTACCACAATTCCAATTACCAATGAAATGAAAAATGAAATTATGTTGACACCCAACATTATTAAAGACCTCAACCAAACTCTTTATACCCGGGGTTAACGTACCAATCAATGAGAAACTATTGGAAAACGTTTTATCCTCTGAAGAACTTTCTCAACGCTTTCCATTCTGCAAATTCGAATTCACGATAAAAGTACCAAAATAACCTTTGAGTTTAGAGTAAAGATCGTTCCTAAATTATACGGAATACAATTAATTGTCAAACCTGAATTCAGTGAAACATATATTGATCTAGTATTTCGTAGCGGTAATAACGAATCCCAGAACACGCCCGATTTATTTGATTCGGTTGCCGATGTCAATAACGAAGCGTCTGAAGGTGCATTCCCCGTATAGATTCCCTTAACTGCCGCAGGAATTCAAGATTTGATGTCTCTTTTGGAATATTTTCGAAATTCTTTGGAAGGAATTGGAAAATTGCAGTTCCTGCACAAAAAATTGAATGGGACGTGAGTATTGTTTATAGATCGGGAACTTTTAGAATCACCCTCAAACAATACATCAAAAACGCATATCGTTCCTAACGCTAACGTTAATGATTTGTCAGGAGAACGCAAACCCATTAGCTGTAATGGAAATTATTGTTATGTTGGATTATCAAGGTAACTTGAATATAATTCTTTGTTTTTGATATACGTACATGTATGTACACGTACATGAAAATGCGTAATTAGATTGCCTGCATAACTACCCGAAACGGAACTCGATTTTTTTCACACTCCTGATTCCACGAACGCGCTTAGTCTTAAAAAATCCACTTGACTTACACAAAGTTTATATCGCAGATTCATTATTCTCTTTTTACGAGACAGAAAAAGTCTATTCAGGTTCCTTACTTTGTGAGTAATGTAAGCGTCAACTAATAAACGGAAAGGCGAGGCCGTCGTATCGCAGGAGGGACCAGCCAAGACGAAGTTATCGCGGCACACCCGTCATAATAAAAAACGCAGACATGAAGCGGAACGTAATGTGGCCTTACCTCCAGTAACAAACGACATAGTCTTCAATCCGGCATAGGTACATATCAACTTTAATATTTTAGTTGCTTTTGCATTGATAGACTGGTTGCCTAAACTACTTGTCACGAGTTTGCTTCGGCAAGTTGTGGGATTCAACAGGACCATAATCGCCATTACTCCACTGGAGATGGTAGTTCCGTGCTTTGGCAAAGCAACTTGTTCAGTCCGCAAACATAAATCATGTAATTTTTTTATTTGAGCATCAAACTCAAAATTTATTATCTGGAAAAGGAGTGGAAAAACATCCCTCCTTGTTTCTCAGATCGTGTATCGTCCAAGAAAGAAAGACCCGGTAAGACGTATCTGCTCGGGATTTGTTCATCGAAACTTTGATTAGGGAGGCAAAACTGGGCGACAATAATTCTCTTGATTCATCCGTGATTCCTCTGAAATTTCTCACATTGGTTGACGCAGATATTATCGGTGGATCATTTATCACTGATACGAATAAACGCTTGTTGTTTGGTTTTAGGCTGTGGTTAGCTTTAAGAAACCAATCAAACGAAGGGATGTCTAGTCAATTTGTTTTCTCCAAACGAAGGTAAATTTATATTAATAGTATTTTATTGACTTCATTAATTCGTTGTATTTTTTCTTTTGGATTGCAAAACAGAATTAATATTAGAGGAATAAGCATGACTTTATATACGCATTATCGTTATATAATCCCATTAAAAGGATAAAAATGATATTTTTTTAATTGTTAGCATCAAAAACGTTTATGATCCTGAACAATGATATAAAACAAATTATAATTCACCAATATATTCATCCGAAAAACGTCGTTTGGAGTTAACAAGTACAATTACCAATCATATGCTACAATAATTACATCAATTATATTGAATATAATTCAATGAAAAAATGAGAAATCTAAATTATTCTTTAGTGCTATACTTGTGATATCGAATTTCAGATTGGTTCGCCGCAAGTCACATTAAAAAATCATACGAAAATTCTTTTTGCTTATCGTGTTAAAAGAAGAGCCTTTTATTATTTATACTAACACACACAAATAAGAAAGTTTTTACAGTCAAAATTCGATATAACGATAATTAGTAAATATCGTTATATCGAGAATTTATTATTTTATTAGAAGTGTTTTTGATTGTCGTTATATCGAGATTTTTATTAGTCATCGTTATAACGCGCGGACTAATATATCGAGTTTTGAGCTTATCGATATCTAATTCATTGGAGCACTTTTACGCTACATAAGTGCTCTTTTAACAATAAAGAAGAGTTCTATCACATGCAGTATTTGACGCAAAAACAACTTCCACCATCATTTCAAAGTTTTAAATTCTATAAGTGAACTCAAAGATGAATTCTAAAATTTCGAATGATCAACATTGAACGTAGTGAATGCGTTTTTTATCGGATACGGAATTACTTCAATAAGTGTTCGGATTAAATTAAACGATCTAATAAATATAAATGCGAAATTATTACAGTTCAAAGCAAATTACATCAGAATTCATAACGAAAAATGAACAATTTCTTAAGTGAAAGCATGATGCTTTTTATTTCCTAATACAACCAAATTTTAATAGATTCTGACTCTAAAATGTTGCAAACATATCAATTCCAACTATATGTACGAAAAATTAAATTGGAGCGAGATTTAGAGTACAGTACTTATGTTTGCCCAGAAATATTAAATGTAGTGTGTACATTTTTGAATGTCCAAGGTCTTTTTGAGACTGTCCCGTCCCGTCCAAGGATGTCCCAATTCCTATTTAACTTGCAAACTTCAATCGAAATACGCAGATATATGCAAAATGAGATTCTAAGCACTTTTAATTATTCACTCAAAAATGGGTTTTATAATAAATTTTGTGATATTTTTATTTATCTTTGTCTCAAAATTGTCCAAGCTGTCCCCTGATTAAATGAAAAACCATACATCAAAGCTGCAGGTGTTTATAATGTAACCGATAAATGTTGTAGATTTAACATGATCTCAATCTAAATACCAACCATTTTGCTATTTGCAAACCTGATTGTGGAGTATCCTTTTTGTGTCAATTATATTTAATGATATATCAATTTATAATCAATAAATGTAGAAGCACCAAGGATTTGTTGGTATTTACTTAACAGATATACTAGAATATTCAATATTTTATATTTAGATTATTAACTATATGATATTTCACAAGATCATTTTGATTCAATCAAAATATTAATAGTAATACTTGTATTCTGTATATAATTATATTAATGCTTTAAATATTATATTATTCATAAATAATAAAATGCAATACTTAACGAAAGAGTAACATCAATTGTTGCCAACTGGTCTGCTCAGACTTTTATTAGAAAAACATTATATATACAAATATTATCAAATTGTAATCTGTTTTTCATAACAAATCAAGTCATTTTTGCCTGTCTTAGATCCACTACACATATCACTAAATAGTAATAAATTGTATTGCGACAAAAGGATAAAACTGCAATTCGATTTTTAGCATCCGATAGTTCATTGGTTTTGAATTTCTTATAATTTATACCTTATCGTTAAATTAACGTGTTGGTCATCACTATATCCAAGAATACGCGTTGCCCTCTTTATGTCGGGCTAAACTTTCGGTTTACATTTATCCGAATTAAACTGGTTTAGAGCGATTTACTTTCGTACCCAGTGTTGTTGCTTGGACTCAAATTGCTGGATTTGCGTTCAAGCGACAACACTGGATTCGTACCTTAAAAATTTAGTACATGTACTAAGATTGATCTCTTATTTTTGATCTTTTCATGTCAAATCAAATAAAATTTACAAATGGGAGGTTTTAGAATGTAAAAAGAATTATATTCGATAAGGAAGACAAAATATAAATTATTTTTCTCAGCTAGTTTAACGAAAACGAAAATCTAAATTTTGTATATAAAGTGCATTAATATTATTACAAGTTAAAAAATATACCTATTATAAAGCCAAAAGCCCAAGTTATTGTTAATATAACTTCTGAATTTCTGTTAACATTTAGAAAAGAGCCAGCATTGGGTAAAATACTACTTGTTTTACTTTTTGTAGTTGTTGCAGATGCTTTACTTGTAGTTGATTTCGTCGAAACACTCGAACTAGAAGCTTTGCTTGAATTTGCACTTGAACTTTCAGTTGCTTTTAAAGTTGGAGAGATTACTGTTTTAAGAGAGTTGCTGCTACTACTTGGCAGTGTAAGCGAACTTACTGTATTAGGAGAGTTGCTGTTACTTGGCCATGTAACCGAGATTATTGTATTAGGAGTGTTTATGATGTTACTCGACTCTGTAAATGAGCTTACTATATTAGGAGAATTGTTGCCGCCAATTGATGGTATAAGTGTGCTAATTGTATTAGGATAATCGCTGTTACTGTTTGACTGTGCGAGTGTGCTAAGCTGGTCCGTTGGTAAATTTGAATTGTTTCCATTCCCGTTGTTTGGTGAATTTGAGTTGTTTTCATTCCCGTTGTTTGGTGAATTTGAATTGTTTCCATTCCCGTTACTTGGTGAATTTGAATTGTTTCCATTCCCGTTGTTTGGTGAATTTGAATTGTTTCCATTCCCGTTGCTTGGTGAATTTGAATTGTTTCCATTTCCGTTGTTTGGTGAATTTGAGTTGTTTCCATTCTCGTTGTTTGGTGACTTTGAATTGTTTCCATTTCCGTTATTTGGTGAATTTGAGTTGTTTCCATTTCCGTTGTTTGGTGACTTTGAATTGTTTCCATTTCCGTTGTTTGGTGAATTTGAATTGTTCCCATTCCCGTTGTTTGGTGAATTTGAATTGTTCCCATTCTCGTTATTTGGTAAATTTGAATTGTTTCCATTTCCGTTATTTGGTGAATTTGAGTTGTTTCCATTTCCGTTGTTTGGTAAATTTAAATTGTTTCCATTTCCGTTGTTTGGTGAATTTAAATTGTTTATATTTCCGTTGTTTGGTGAATTTGAATTGTTTCCATTTCCGTTGTTTGATGAATTTGAATTGTTTCCATTTCCGTTGTTTGGTGAATTTGAATTGTTTTCATTCCCGTTGTTTGGTGAATTTGAGTTGTTTCCATTTCCGTTGTTTGGTGAATTTGAGTTGTTTCCATTTCCGTTGTTTGGTGACTTTGAATTGTTTCCATTCCCGTTGTTTGGTGAATTTGAATTGTTTCCATTTCCGTTATTTGGTGACTTTGAATTGTTTCCATTCCCGTTGTTTGGTGAATTTGAGTTGTTTCCATTCCCGTTGTTTGGTGAATTTGAGTTGTTTCCATTCCCGTTGTTTGGTGACTTTGAATTGTTTCCATTCCCGTTGTTTTTTTGGTTAGTAGGATTTGCTGAACTAAATTCAGGAAAAATTGAAAGAATTTAGTAAGGCATATATCAAAATTATATATATAAAAAATAATTGTTACAAATTTACCTTGGTACAAAAATATTAGGCGAAGGAAAATTTGGAAGAATAGTTGATAAATTTGGATTTGCATTTAGACTTGCACTGGATGTAGGTACGTAAGGAGGCGAACTAATCGGGTTATTAGGAACTGTGGGACTGTTTCCTGGTTTTGGATTTCCATAAGATGGGGACGGTGGTGATGTTGTCAGCGGTGATGTATCGTTAAGCGTTTTAGACACTGAAGATATAGGCACATAAGGAGATGAACTAATCGGGTTATTAGGAACTGTGGGACTGTTT